CCCTGATTCCCCGCCCCCCTCCCCCGCCCCAGGTCCATAGAGCGCCTCAACGCCTTCAACTACCTAGGCGTCGCCGCCTCCCTCGCCCTCGCCCTCATCGCCGCCGCGCTCGGCGCCGCGGCCGCCGCCGCCGGCGCCGTGCACCCGCTGCCGGCCGCGCCGCAGTGGGCGGAGCTGGGCGGCGGGGGGCTGGCGGGGGCGGCGCAAGTTGCGAGCATTGTGGCCGTCCTGCTGGCCTGCTACGTCGGCCATCAGAACCTACATCCCGTCCTGCCGCTGCTGCGGCCGTACTCGGGTGCGCACGGGCTGCGCCCCTGTCGCACGCACGCTTGAACAAGGCCGGCCGCAAGGATGCCGGCTGATTGAATTGGGCTGCGCTCGTGCTGCGTGTGTGTGCGGCACTACGCAGCTTGCGTGGATGGCATGCCGGATGGCGTCCTGATGACGGATACCCGCACCTGCCCGGCAGGTGCACGCATGCGCGGCGTGCTAGTGGTGGCCCTGTCAATGGCGGCCCTAGTCTTCAGCGCGCTGTGCGTCGGCGCGGCGCTCGCCTTCGGGCCCGGCCTGCAGGTATGTGGGCGGCGGCTGCGGCTGCGGCTGCGGCTGCGGCTGCGGCAACGGCGGCCGGGCGATGGCTGGCCAGCGGGCCGCCCTCGCCCCCGTTCCTGCGCCACGAGCGGCCGCGCCTGCATACCCCTGTGTCGAGCCAGCCCGTCAGTCCCCGGTCAACCGAGCCGCTCCAGTCCTACTGACCGATCGAACCCTCGGCAATCTGGCCTCCCACACGACCCCTGTGGACTTGGAAACTCTGAATCCCTACACCCTTGCCTACCCCTGGCCCCCAGATCAACGTGCTGTCAAACCTGAGCATCGACTCCATGGCCCCGCTCCTAGGCGCCGCCCCGGCTGTCGTCGCGAGCCTGGTTATCCAGATCGGCTACGTCGTGTCTCTCATGGCCTCCTTCCTGCTCTACATGCACCCCATGAGGACCAACGTGGCCGAGATGATCTGGCCGCCGCCTGACGTCGCGGCGGGCCAGGGCGCGGCGCCGGCGGGCCGCCGGGGGTCGGACGACGAGGGGGGCGGCGGCGCGGGCGTGGAGGCGGGCGCGGCGGCGGCTGGGGTCGGGGCGGGCAGGGCGGCGGAGATGGAGGCTCGCCACTACCACGTCCTGACGTACTCGCTGCTGGCGGCGGCGACCCTGGCGGCCGTCAGCGTCCCCAGTGAGTGCGCAGGCGGCGCGCCAGCCCGGGCTCCGCCCTGCCGCTCATGGTGCGTTTGGGGTGCCGTGCGCGGCAGGTGGGTGAGGGCTGCGGGATGCGGCTGGCCGTCCGTAGCGCTGATCCGGCGCCCTCTCCTCCTGCCGTGCCCTCGCACGACCCCTCTGCCCTGCAGACATTTGGGCGGCGCTGTCGTTCATCGGTGGGGCCGACGGCGAGGCGGAAGGGGGTTTTGAGGGAGTGCCTCACATCCTTGTGAATCGAGCACCGCCCGCTCAGGGTTTTGGGCCAGGCGCTCTCTGCAGGGTTTCGGATCAGGCGCGTGGCCCTGGTTGTCCAATTAGCACATGGGCCGCTTGTGTGCGACCCCCGACCGACAGCCCTCCCCCCACGCCCCGCGTCCGCCCACTAACAAAGGCAACATGTGCGCAAGCGTGGAGGCGTTCATAGCACCAGGGTGCATCGCGCTCGCTCTCAACGGATTCTGGCCGGGCAGCAAAAGCAGCGGCGGCGGCAGCAGCGGCGGCGGCGGCGGCGGCGCCGAGGCGGCGAGGGACACCGAGGCGGCGCCGCTGCTGGATAGCGCCGCAGGGAGCGGCGCGGTCGGCCGGGCTGGTTCCAGCGGCGGCCGGCGGAGATCTGGGCCGGGCGGGGCCGCGGCGGCGTGGCGGGCGGCGGCGGTGGCGGGCAACGTGGCGACGGCGGTGGTGGCGATAGCGCTAGGGTGCGGCCTGATGGTCAACGGTGTCGCGCAGCAGCTGGTCTCGTGGGGCGCCTTTGGATGACGATGTTGGGACCCGTTGAAAACTTGTGTTCGGGGGATGAGGGCTTGCACTTCATGACGACTTTTCCTGATGATTGTACTTGTATTTATAGTCTGATTGTTGTGTTTGTGTCTGTCGTCTGCAATTGATGCTAGCTTTTACTCACAGTATACGTGGTTGTGTAAACAGTGATTGAGTCAGAACGTGTTACTATAAGCATCCACAAGCAGTCCGCATCATAATCAGGCTGGTGACGCACAGCGCCATACTTGGAGCCCCGCCACACTGCGAGCCTTCAGGGCCAGCCGGGGATCACGCGGCCGCAGCCACGGGGGCGCGCGTCCTGCCGCTCTTGGGCTTCGCGACGTCGCGCAGCGGCTTGTCGCGCACCCTGCGGCCGGGGCAGGCGTCGAGTGTGGGTGGACCAATTGAAGATGGCTCAATAAGCTAAAACCCGGCGACCGCAAAGCCATCGCAGCAGGCTCGTCCGTCCCAATTCCGCATGCCTCGCCCTCAGAAACACAGCTGCCAGCAACAATCCTACACGAGGAGACGCGGCTCTTGGATGCATGCGCCCCAGCCTGAAGCAGCCCTGTCCCCTCCCTTCCTGTCACCTGTAGATCCGCATCATCCAGTGCTGGCTGGAGAACACCTCCTCGAAGTACTTGAGGCTGACGTCAAAGTTGCCGATCAGCGTGCCGCGCACGCGGTCCATGCCGCGCTGGCCGAACTGGCGCTCGGACGCCTCGGGGAAGCTGCGGGGGCAGGGCGGGTGGTTGGGAGGGCGCAGCGGGCGGGTCCATGCTTACCCTGTTGCCCCCACTTCACTCCCTTCCTTCTCCCTCATTCTGCCCCTCTGATTGTCTGTCTCGTGTCTCGCTTCCCATACTCGCTCTTTCTCTGGAAACACAACGGACCGCCCAAATGGACCGCTCGAGCCTCAAAGTCTGCAACCAGCAACCAGGCTGGCCGCCCAGCACCCCTTTGTCCTCTTGCTGAAGCCGCCCCCCCTGCGCCCCGCCGCGCCACTCACTCGTAATAGGAGAGCTTGTACATCAGGGACTTGAGCATGATGGGGTTGCCCTCAGCATCAATGCGGTATTCACCCTGAGCGGGAGGGGTTGGCGAAAGATACGCTCGACACAGAGACAGGCGGGCGGAGCCCCGGCCATGGGGCGAGGAGGCCGGGGGTGAGCGACCCTTTCCTGGGTTACAAACAGCAGGCTTGACAGCCCCAGTATGTCTGCAGCGCCCCGTGCCTTTGCCCGCGCCCGCTGCGCCCCGCCGCCCCTGCCAGCATGGGCCTGCGCCCGGCGCGGCCCCTAGGGCCCTCACGTTTGCGCTGAGGTAGTCCTTCTCCTTAATCTCGGGGTAGACGCCGCCGCCGATACGCACCTGGGTGCGCGCACACGCGTGTGTGTGAGTGTATATGTGACAGATAGAGTGGGCGCATCTGGCTGGGAGGGATGTTAGAGATGCTCCTGCTCCGAGGAAGTTTGATTGATTTGGGCTCTCTTTGCCGCCGCGACAAGCGGCGGCAGCGTGAACCGACCGTGCGGAGCGGCAGCCGCGCGAGGGCTGAGGGATGGGCGATTCACTCAAAAGACGCGGAGGACCAAGTGGGTGGGCGGGCTGGGAGGGCGGTGTGCGCGTGCGCCCACCATCCAGAGGAATTTGTTGATGTCGTCTGATGAGTAGCCGATGAGGCCACCAAACACGACAAACACATACTCGACATCCAGGGACCTGGACGCGGGCGCGGGTGTTGAGGGTGAGATGGTGCGGGCTGTGGGAGGGGAGGCTGGTGCGAGGAATTGGAAAAAGAGGGGAGCACACACACGTGCTCACATAAACGCACAGAAACAAACGCATGACACAAACTTGCAGGTGCGCGCCGTCCACACCCCCACCCACACACACACACACTCTCTCTCTCCCTCACACACATACACACACACACACACAGGCACTGCCGCCCAACCACGCACCTGTAAATCCTCCAGGCCTTGGCCTCAGGGCTGGCCATGGCCCTGCCCACAGTGGCGATGTGTGAGGTGTTCCAGGTGTTGTTGTCGACGATAATCGTGCGGTTGGCCATGGCGGTGGTCTGGTAGCCGTAGTCCCACCTGGTGATTGGTTGGGGGATAGGGAGGGGGTTGCTGGTTGTTGGGGGTTCTCAGGGGCTGCAAACATCTCCAGCTAGGGTGGGCAAAAACAAGGGGGGGCAGATGGCTCCGCAGGCGACGAGTGTAAAAGAGAGAGAGAGAGTGTGGGTGTGTAAGGATGCGCCGCACGGCTGCGCGTGACGCAGCGGGCTGAGCTAGGCGCGGCCGAGGCGGGTTGCCGCGTGTGGTGGTGGGCCGCGCACCAGCTGGCAATCTTGGCGTCCTCGTGGGTGTTGTGGCGCAGCCACGCGTACACCTCCCTGGGGGGAAGTGAGGGACGTGTGTACGCACATTCGTGCCGTGTGTGAGTGTCAATGTCTGTGTGGTGTGCGTGTATGTCTGTGTGCATGTGTCTGTCTGTCTGTCTGTCTGTCTGTCTGTCTGTCTGTCTGTCTGTCTGTCTGCGTGCTTGTATTTGTGTTTGTGTTTACGTGCCTTTTGGCGTGTATTGAAGGGCGATGCGAGAGAGTTTGGGGAAACGAGGACGAGAGTCAGGGGGAAGGGAGAGACGGTGCTCGTGAGGGAGGAGCGGCTCGGCGCGTTGCTCGAAGCATACCTGTTCGGGGCGTGGGCATGCGCACGCGTTGAGCTGCTGTGCGCGCACGCGCTATCACGCACGCTGCCACGCAGCGCACAGGCCCAGACACTGCCCCGTGCGAGGGTCTCTCCCCCCTCCCCCACACACACGCAGCGACATGGGCAGCGACGTGGGCCGCACCTGAAGTCGTCAAACACGTAGAAGGAGCCGTCCCTGTTGTGGGACTGCAGAACGATGCTGGGAGCAGAGTACATGTCCGCGCTCACACTGTGGGAGGAGCGGGGGTGGGTTGTGTTGTGTGTGTGTGTGATGTGTGTGTATTATGTGTATGTGTGTGTGTGTGAGGGCGTGTGTGAATTTTTGTAGGGGAAAAGGGGGGTTGCCGTGCGTTTGTGAAAGAGATGGTGTTGGGTGCTCAGTGGTGAGCAGGGGGACCTCCAATAGGAGAGGGGTCAGGGGGCGACAAACAGGTGGAGAGAAGGCAGGAAGAGGATGTACAGAGGACCACCCTTCGCGGGCTGCAAGGTGGGATGCGCCCCGAACAGCAAGACGATAGGGCGTGCGCGATGCAGGGCGCAGCCCGGTGCCCGCCGCAAAGCGCAGGCCGCGCCCCGTCGCCCGGCAGCCCGGCAGACGCGTGAATCCACGCGGGGCGGATCCTTCTCGCGCGCCCCTCGAGGCCGCCCCTGTGCTCACCCTATGCAGTGGATGGTGTACATGACCAGGAGCACCACGATCCCGGCAAACCCGCCAAACGCGACCGCCTTCGGCAGGGGGTTCCACTCCTTGCTCACAAACGGCCCCTTGCTGAGGCCCGCGCCGTCCCCCGCGTCCGACACGCCCTTCCCGCCGCGCCGCGCGGCGGGCTTGCCGCCCTTGTACGGCGTCCCCGCGCCCGCATCCGACGCGCCCGGCTCCGCGGCGGCGGCGGGCACGCCGGGCAGCGTGAGCGTGGGGCCGTGGGCCTTCAAGGAGCAGCAGAGGGTGTTGAGGATGTCCGAGACTGCGACGCCGGCGAGGCAGCAGGTGGCGGGCGCGAGGACGAGCATCAGGCGGACCATGACGCCGCTGAAGTACACAGCGGTGACGCCGTACAGCACCAGGAACAGGGCGCCTGTTTTTTTTGGGGGGGGGGGAGTGGTTGGTGCGTGGCGGTAAGCAGGGCATTCTGGTGTGAGTGTGAGTGTGAGCGTGAGTGCATGTGTGAGTGTGTGTGTGTGTGTGTATGTGCGTTTGCGTGTGTGCGTGTGTGTGTGTGTGTGTGTGCGTGTGCATGTGCATGTGTGCGTTTGTGTGCCTGTGCCTGCGCCTGTGTATGTGCGTTCGCTGTGTGTGTCAAACACAGACACACACATACAAGGTGCGCATGTGTGGGTTTTTTCAAATGTGTTTGCACGTGTGTTCGCAAATGACGACCAACATACACACAAAGGAGGTGGGGCCTCGCCGGCAAAACCGCCTTTCTTGCCTAGGCGCGGGTGCTGCACGAGCCCCGTGCCATCCAGCCATCTGGCCGACCCCTGTGCTGAGGCCCCCGCGGTGTCGCCCCCTGCCAACGCCCCGCGCCCCCACCGTTTGTGAGGTTCTTGAAGCAGCCGATGATGCCTGCCGGCGCGAGCAGCGCGGCAACGTGCAGATCCGTGATGTATGACGGCCAGCTGGGGGGCTGGTGCTCCGAGACGGACGCGATGATGGGCACGAAGCGCGAAGCATAGGTGGGGTCCAGGAGGGTGAGGCTGCGGCCTGGGGGCGGGGTGGGAGGGGGGAGGGCAGGGTGAGAGGACAAGCATGTGAGTGTGTATGGGAGGAGGGGTGTGTGTGTGCGTGTGTGTGTGTGTGGGGATGTGTGTGTGTGTGTGGATGTGTGTGTGTGTGTG